TGTTTTTCAATACTTTTGAATAAGGGATTTTATAAAGAAAGTGCGCATCAAATCTCAATGGAAATCTCCAAATTTTCAATAGAAATCTCCATCCAAAAGCCTCCAAAAGCATCAAATCTCAATGGAAATCTCCAAATGTTTGATAGAAATCTCAATCCAAAAGCCTGTAAGATAAGCAAATCCCAGCAAACTCAAAAGGGAAAAAGAAAACTATAACAATAAAAAATATCCCACTACAACTACCCCTCCCCAAAAAAAAAGACATTATTCTGGGGGCCTTTATAAATCTGTGCAGGAAAAAAAGTGACATTATTCTAGGGTCGTTTATAAATCAAAGGTCAACATTACTCTATGTTTGATGGCATGGTTCATGCCCATCCGATGTTTTGCCAGTCCACGGAGCGGCTCTTCCACGCCAGACTTCTAACATCTTATATATATATATATATGTCTATACTATGCCCGGACCCACAAGTGGTGACGAATAAACACCCCGAATCACCTTGGTATAGGGGGACCAACTCAAATACGGGCGCCCCTGGTAGGTGCACTGTTTGATCTCCAAATGTTTGATCCAAAGACCTCCTCACATCGCGGAGGAACCTGGAGGAGTCCACCCGTTCCACTGACGTGCCCAAAGGCTTCTCTCAGGGCTGCATCGTCAGTCACCTGGTGGCGGCTCTGCTCCGGGAACGAGGCTGGTACTCTCCGGTGTTGGGCGTCGGGGGGCGAAAGGGCCGGAGCGGTGCGTGGCCGGAACCTATGAGAGGCACATATACCTGGATCTTACAACTGTGCAAGATTCAAGATGTGCTGCCTCTTCACCTTTTTTTAAAAAGCAGCTATATATAGAAGGCACACATGTTGCATAGTTTGTATTTTAATAGGGGGACCTCCCTGGCCCTGGCAGGGTAGACTGGTCGGTCTATTTTTCGAAACTTCCAGAGAGGGTTTCCTCACGCAGACCAGTGCGATCCTGGTTTCTGCACACGCACATCGAATCGACAGCAACCGCGCATTCGACAGCACCGGACGATGCCGGTGCTTTCCGGCCCACCCCAGACACTCCATGGGACTGCCATAGGACTGCCGCCCCATTGACCCCCATGGCACCACCCCAAGTGTTTGGGCTCTCTGACGAACTCTGACGAACAACCTCCGGTCCCCGAGTGGTTCTCCACCGAACGAACCGTCGGCTCGGCGAAGGGTGCGGCGGTTTCTGGTGCGGCTCCGGTCGGCTCGGTCACGTTGGGATGGAATGGAAACATGTGCATTGAAAGGAATCGATTTCGGGGCAACACGTGCCTCAAATTCCGGACGAATTAAGACTAGGTGGCACCAAATTAAGAACTGCAGTGGTGGTGAAACAGATGTGGAACAGCGATTTTAGTGTTCAACCTCTACTTGGAAGAATTACTGTAATTCACACGCATTTTTTGTTCAAGCGAGTTGAAACCATCAACCAGAGAAGATGGAGATGAATGGTGTGATGTTCTCACCTTTGGAGGGTCTTCAGAGATGAAACATTCAAGGGGCTCCAACAGAGGGGTGTTCAGGGAGGTGGAGGGATTGGCAGCCTTGCCATAGCAGGTGCACCTCAAGACAGTGTCCAGAACACCATGGATCTCAAAGGTTTCAGATGTGGCATGTTTTTATCAATCACCTGCTTTCATTTCATCTAGAGCACCTGGGAACCTGGTTTCATGCAAACCCCTCCATCTACCCAAGGCTTCCCATCTCTGGGCCCTGACCGATCCGCCAAGTAAAGCACTGTAAGGCATGTGATTCGAAACGAGAACACAGGTCAGTGTTAGTACCTTCTCCTCCATGTTGTGCACAGTGGTACGGGTGGGGTTGCACAGTGGCAGTGGTGCGACGTCCGATTTTCGTGACTACTTTCGATTCACGTCCATCCTGCCCTGCAATCCGCAAAGACAACCACATAGACAACCTTGCGCAAGAAAGATGCTAGAGATAGACGAAGATGGCCCAAAACACCTGTGGGGAAGCATGATTCCAGAGTTCCAAGACATTACCGACACCATGCCATTGAAACTCGGAATTGCTTCTAAGATCCTTTTGTTGATGAATGGATCATCGCAGAGGCTTCACTATGAAATGGCCTCTGGCTTTCCTTCCATCGCTGGAGCCGATGCAAATCAGTGTGCAGCACCATCAGGTCAAGACAAGCACTTGGGATGTGAAGATATGCATTTGGGGTATGGCTTTGCACAGCAGCTCCTATATACAAAATATAACATCCAGGGAATCCAAATGTGGATCTTTTTTTGTTCAAACACGTTCGCACAAAAAATCCGTGCATCCGGTCTTTTTTGTCAAATTGGACAAATTTTCTGGAATTCCTCCGAATATTGAGTTTGATTGGGTTTTATCAATATAATTGTTTGGGTTTTTGTCGATAACATGTTGATAAAGTTTGGGTTTCATATGGGTATGCTTTTGTACGGTATTGTTTTTTGGTCAATACGGCTAAATAGGCTAATTCGTTAATTAAAATGTCCATACGATAAATTCTGTCCAAATACGTTCTTCGCACAAAAAAAAGTGTTCATACGCCTTTCCAGGATATTATATGTACTGTAATATCCTTTGCCATCCCTTGCCGGCCTATGCCTTTTTTGGCCAGCCAGAAGGATTTGGAGGAGCCAGATGACGCCGCGATTGTTGTGGTTTGGTGTGGTACGTGTGGTACAGGTGCCGTCGATGCTTGTCAAGTGCACTGACAGGACGTCGGCGCATTCGGAAAACAACAAAGACTTCATTTTCAGCTTCGTAAAACTGCTCTCTCTACTTCATGGTCGCCGACCATGTTCGTGTATATATCTCAAGACCGAAGACCTGTCAAGTCGGAAATGGACCTGTCCACACTGGGTAGTGGGTTCTTTTCGAAGTCGTGTGTGACCCGAGTCCATGTCACTCGTGTCCCCAACATCGCTCCATCGGACTGCCATAGGACTGCCGAGAAACGGCCAGGGGTGGGGGGCGTCAATGGGGCGGCATAGATTCCAGTCCCATGGAGTGTTTGGGTATTGCTAGCTTAGGCAGTCTACAGCCTATGTCACTGCACGAAACCAACCCTGGTTACTGGTGTTCAACACCTGACCGACCGTGATTACAGTCAGTTCGTCCTCCTGTCGCGTGTCCAGCAGAAAAATACGGTCCAACCTGAAGCTTTTCAGCACCTGAGGCAAAACCGCTGACAAAAAAAACGCTCGAGACAGTCCTCCTGTCCAACGTATAGCTCTTACGCTGCCCCAGGAGGATTCTCTCGATGAATCGAAAAGCCGCGCCGACAAGCGGGCCGTGCGCGCGCAGCCGCGCACGGGCGGTCGGTGGGCACGTGACGAGGTGGCAAATTGTGGGTGGAGGCCATCGCTACTAGGGTTGAGGCCATCGCTAGTAGGCTGGAGGCCATTGCTATGTTTGAGACACAGAAAAAAACGAAAAGGAAGAAAGGTCTAATAGTCCGCTTGGCCGAGTTCGACCGCCGATGGGGTCGTCGCGATGTGATGATTAAAGACACGTGCTGCGGGGGAAGGCGATCGTTTTCTCCAAGAGCCAATTCTCTCAGCATATCTTCTGAACTTGAGAGTCCCCTCCACTGGGCCTTGTAGCGACCCCAAACCAGAAGATCAAGTTAGGTTACGCTGATTGGCCCTGTTCGAGCAGATCTACCTTCCCGGAGGCCCCCACACCTTTCACCTGCTGAGAATACCGGACCACCTTAGGGCACCGTGAAAAACCAGAGTTATGACAATAAGAGCAAAAGAATCTATGGAAGTCCATGGAATTCATGATAACAAATTGCAGTAACGTGTTACATGTTATGACTCAAGTTATCTCAAGTGATACATTCATTCTTGATACAGCGGTATATACCGGCCCGCTCCAGTGGTCGCAATCATTGTCGATGCATCTATAGTGGCTTCTTCCGGATCCGACTTGCAGCACTCAGGTGGCTTCCGATGCGATCCAGGCCGGTGGCTGCTTCTTCTGAGGAACTTCTTCCGGCGCTGGCACCTCGAAGCAAGAATCGACCCCCGACGAGAGACTGGGCTTCGGGGCGTTGGAGGGGAGTTCTTACCGTTTGGTTCGCTGGTCTATGTGTGTTTCGTCCGCTCCCAAACGGGAAGGTGTGTGGTTTCAGCTCTCCCTGGGCACTGGGGGAGTGGACGGAGCAGGTGGAACATCTTTCCCAAGGCACCGTAGGGGATCCACATCTAATCCTTTGAGGCTTGGAGACGCTGTGATAGGTTTGGACATGTTTAGTCGTACCTTCTGATTTTCCCTATGAACTTTCTCAGTAGGTCACAGTGTTCACCAGGCTTGGTAGGGGTCATTGGGCTCTCCCAGTGAATCGCCACACTTGGTTAACAGTCTATCCTCATATCTCAACATCAATGTTGGACTCCAAAGGAGTCTTCGAGTTCATGAATGTGACAGGGCGAAACTTGCTGTCCAGTGACTCAGTTGACCAAGGGATTCAGACATGGTTGATCCCTGGGCATGGCTTGGAGAAGCCCATTCCCGGCTGCGCGCAGGAAAACCCATCACAAGGAAAGCGAAACCTCGCCACGCGCAGCAGTGGAAAAGCGCTAGCAGAGGAGCAGATAAGCTTAAGAGGTTAGGTCAGGTGCAGGTCATTAAGGTACCCTGGTTCACAAGTCAACTAGGCTGTGGTTTAGGTGGAGCAGATTCATGAAGGCCAAGGCTTTCTATTTTCGTTTAAAGGTTGAGTCTACTGACCACAGTTCTCATGCTGCAGGTATACCCTGGGCCTTTTGCTCATCGTGGCCATGTGTTTGCACGCCGATCAGAACCTGGCAGCGCCCAATTTGCCCCCTGGCAGCGCTTCGTTCGTTCGTTTCGTGAGGTCCGTCGCCAGCGGTGACGTCCCGCGCGGACCGTCATCGCGTCCCACCCGCCACCCGCGTGGGAGGGATGATTGATTGCACATGGATTGCACCATGCGGGTTCTTTCCGCCCATCAAATCGACGGTGAGAAACATGGTGAGCCGATCAGACCGAGGAGTCTGAAATCGGCCCCGGGCCGAGGAGTCTGAATCAAAGAACTTTGAGCCGGCTAGAAATTCCTTTCACCACTGGTGACAAGGTTCGAGAACTATCCAAGTAACATCTCATGTCAAAGCACATCCAACCACGGCTCTTCGACCCTTCCATCTTCAAAGCCTGCATCCGATTCTCAGGAGCGCAATTGCGGAGGACTTCGACTTGACGCCCCTGGAAAAGGACAGCAAGTTAGGTGCCTCGGCACAGATTTCACCCTGTCTCTAGCCATCTGGGGAGGGGTCGGAGCCGGAGCCACATCTCCACGGCGCGAACGGTCAAGCAAGGGTATAGGAATTGGACCATGTCAGCCATATCCCAAAAAAAGCGGGAGGACCGCACAGCAGCTGGTGTGGATCTTTCTTGTTGTGAGAATATCACATGGCAGATATATGACATCGGAGGAATCCAACGACATCCGAAGGTATTGGGAGGGAGGGGCCCCAGTCTCGGTATGAGGTGTCTATTTGGTTCGCCCCCAAAAAGAGCTGATTCGCGGGTGTCCACTAACGGTCCCGACAGTGGGTCCTGGTATGCTGGTATATTTGATTACTATATGAGCAACTTTCCAAACCTCCGATGAAGGCAGCATCACTTATAGTGAAGACTAAGTAAGTAAAGTCCCATATATACTGCGTATAAATATATGGTGGGAAGATCCATCAGTCAGCCCTCTCCTGTTTGTACCGAAAAAGATCCGTGGGTGGGAACACCGGACCTGTCGTGACACCGCGCGATACCTTGGCAGGATGGGAGACTGAGGGACTGAGGATGGGTTTGTTTTGGGGTTAAACTCCCAGCTAGTCAACGAGTGGTTAGTGACGCAAGCTTAGTCCTTGAATGGTCTTGAGATGTCTTGGGTAAGAAGAAGAAGAAGGTCTTGAACACACATATTACAGGATCACCTGCCCGAAAGAACTCATTTTGCATGTGTGGTTTGCGTGGTCTGCTGAACAGCTGACTATCCCAGAATCCCAGCATTCTGCTCCTTCCACAACCTGCCTTCCGGTCCAGGTGGGCAGGTGCAGCTGGGTTTCTTGGCCAACTTGGACAGCTGGGCCAAGGGGATCCAGCTTTCTCAGCCTAGGCCCCGTAACGGCGATGGTCGGGTACACTGGGGCTTCAGGACAACCCCTGGTCTAGCACACCCCGATCAAGGCTCTGGAGCAATCCCCTTTTCACGAGCGGAGCACCAGCCGACCTGAAGGACCCGAGCACGGTCGGCTGGTGCTCATTTTGTCTTGAGTCTAGACTCTAATAGACCGTAGAGACAGCACGGTCAGACAGATCAGACAGCACGAAAGAACACAGACTGGCATGACATGGAAAGTATAGATTTCCCTAGAAAATGAATTTGATGGCTAAGCGCCTTGGCTTCTGTTGCTCATGGGTTTTTATAGTGGAGCCTGCAGGGTGCCCGATGCGCCTTTCCACACCACCGAACTGATGCGGATGTAAAACCCCTGGGCACTCTGGGACTGGCATATGTTTAAATAAATATATATATATACCTGGACCTTCAAGGGGTGTCCAATGGAGGTCCCTTAGTAGTGTAGGGGCTTCCATTGGTGACCCCTTTGAAGGTGCTGGTACATAGGGATGGTTTCAGGGGTCAATGTCGGTAAATATACATGCCAGGGGTCACAAGACGGGGTGGTTTTTAGTCCCATCCAGTGAGTGGAGTAGCTATCCTCCAAGTTCGGCACCCCGTCTTGTGACTCCTGGTGGATGGTCTGGAAAATGGTGCAAACTTGGATTTAAAGTTCGCAAACCGGTTGAAGGGTCCACGTGTGGATTTCTCCGGAAGCCTGAGTTCTTTCGGCTCGCCTTCCCAATATCCTTTAATGCGTGGTTGGTGAAGAGTAGAGTCACTGAACACTGTGCCCTCATCCAGTACCCTGCAACGGAAGGATTTTTGTCAGCATTGGGTGGAATTTTGAGATCCCGATGGCTTTTTGTGCGAAAAAGTGCAACTAAATGAACAAAACATCAGGAGACAAGTGCAGGTTGTCAAACCTGTGACCAACCCAGGAACTGAAGATTACTTAATTGATATTCTTTGGTTTGCAGTTCAACCTCAAAGGCTAGGATCCTGTGGTGTTGTTGTGCAGTGAATTTATATGAAGATAGGGGAGGGTGAATCTGTCCATGTCTGTCCATTTTGCCTGTTAGACTTCAGATGCCTTCAGTTGTCACATGTTGTCACACTTTAATGTGATGTTGACAGCATTTCTGTTGTTTGTTGTTATTTTTGTATCCACAATCAAGCGATTCGATTAGATTATACTGTATTGACACATACCGATAATTTACGCGCACAATACGTCAATGATGGTAGGCGGAAAAAAAGAATCCAGGGTGAGTGTTTTGCTGGTAAATGCATGCTCGCAAAGGAAAACTAAAGTAAAGCACTTATGTGTTCACTGAGTGTCCTTGTGTTTTCCAGGTTGGTTAAATGCCAGTCACATGCTTCTGCATTCCCCGAGATTTTGAGATATGTTGAGAAAATTTGAGATAATCTGGCCTGGAGCCCATAATGTATATTTAGTATTTCGAGATGTTTCGAGATAAGTTGAGAATTGTAGAACTCTTGAGATTAAGTGAACCGGGAGTAGTGTCAGGAGAATACTATATTCCACAGCTGGTTCGTTTCTGTCATTGACATGACAGTTTCAGGGTACTGGACTGTTGTTTCAGTTTTTATGGAGAAGACATGCCATGTCGATATCCGCATTTTGCAGGGTTTTCCAGGTTGTTCGCCCCACGCCATTCGTCGGTTCGATGGATCGGTTCTGCCAACTGCAGCAATCCGGTCCGCGGTGCTCCAGTTTTTCGAGGGGAGGTTGCCAGCGATGCTGTTCAATCTCCGGAGCCTCATGTCATCAATGTTTAGCAAACCGGTTTGGGGGGATGCTTACATGATCCCTACACAGGAAACGTTCTCAGTGTTCGAACTCGCAGCCTCCGAGGCTTCTTCTTCGTTGGAGGAGACATGCCCAAACTCGCGGCGAAAACGGTTCGCTTGCGCACCAACTCGCCCATACTCACCTCACTCAGCAGCACCTCACCCCACCCAGCACCTCCTTCCATGTCCCATCTCAACAAGCCTCCCATTTTCTGTGGCCACAGAAAAGGTGTCTTGTTTCGGGGGGGGCACCTGGCCAGAGACCGGGGCCTCCCTGGCCCTGCGGGGTCTCTTTAACTAACAAAGCCTGGCTCCTGACACCGTCAGGAGCCACCAGCTTGGCCTTGGGTCCCTTAGCGGATCGGCTGAACCGAGTGAATCTGCTGTTGGCCGTGGTGATCTTGGGGAGCGTGCCCTGCGCGCTCATTAAGCAGCTTGGCTAGGCCGCACAGGTGAGGCCGGAGAGGCCGGGGAGGTGCTTGGAATGGTGGTGTACTAGTAGTTGCGGGGAATCTGGTTAGTTGTGCAGGTGTGGCAAAGGGACTGAGATGTCTTGTTGATTCTTGGGGTGTTTATCGTTGGCCATTTATGGGTGTTTATTCCAGCAAAGATTGAGGTTCTGGCACACATGTGACTTTCGCAGGTAGAATGGATATGGAGAAAATCCCATAGATTTGCGTTCTTCTGTTGGCTGAGAGGAGGTTGACTCTTAAAGTCTTAGCCAGATAAGTCTGATGTTCTTGACCAGTCAGGGATCAGTGAGCGAAACTGCCTTGCACCACAGTCTTGGCCTTCTTTGGGCTTGAAACTGAGAAACTCGTGCATGGGTTATCTGGAATTTAGGGGGGGTTATCATGTTTATAGGATCTGCCAGCCGCGTGCAGAGCTCGGGCTGAGCCTTTCGTCTCCACACCTTGACAGCCCACCATACTGCGGCTCAAGAGAGAAACATCCAGTGTGTCCACATCCAGGAACATCCGGCAGTTTCCGTACGATGCACCGAACAGACAGGAACCAAAAGGCCTTTGAACATGCCCTTGCTTGGTGGAGTTCTGGGAAGGGGGACACCACCCGGTGCTACAACCCCATGAGCAAAGTATGGTTCCAATAGGTATCTAAGTGATTCCAACCGGTAAAATGGTACCTGACCTCTTGATTCTTCCCGTTAATACAGACATCATCCGTCCAAGATACACGATTCGACGATCCTCGATCCGTCGGTGCGTAGATCGGATCGTTGCACGCCACGACCCAAACGCGGGTTCCGCGCCGAGGTATATTCCATCGGGCGACTCGGGCTTCTTGCGACCCGGCGAAAACATGGTGAGTGTGGGGTGTGGTTTGGGGCAAAGGGGGCGTTTATAGGGGCGTTTATATGGTGGCTCCACATTCGAGATGCTGTTATTAGGTTGGAGGCTATCACCATTAGGTTGGAGGCCATCGCTATTAAGTTGGAGGCCATCGTTATTAGGTTGGAGGGCCATCGCTCTTAGGTTTTTGGTTCTCTGGATGCATTCCGTCGCGGTGGCAGCCTTGCCACGTCTCCCTGAGTGTGGGCAGCGCGGTCAGGTGTTGGACTCCAGGTGTTGGACCTCGTCCAGGATTGTTGCAGGCAATGGTTACTCAATGGTTCCCAGACACTCCATGGGACTGGCATATTTACCATTATTTACCTACATTGAGGTGGTTTTAGGGGTCAATGTAAGTAGGCATATATATATGGCAGTCCGGAGTGTTTGGGGTTGGAGAATGATTTCCGGAAGTTTTCCTTTCCATCTGTAGCATGAGGTGTGGTGGATACATCAGATCTGAAGGGCTTCGTGCTGAGCATCTTGGAATTGAACCCTGGCTGGTGGACTTGCTCTTGATACGGCTATAGAGCTCCCTGCCGTTGGTCGCCAAGACTCGTCTGCTGTTCGTCGTCTTGGCCTCGGCTTGTTGATCCTGCTGTGAACGTTGAGCATCCTGAAGTTGGACGCCATCGAAATGTGTGAAATTTGTCAATTGTCTTGTGATGTCGAAGGTCTTGTGATGTCGAAGGTCCTGTGTCGGACGGAAAGCTGGATTTGTCGGGATTCCATTTGAGGAACGCGACTGGACCGGAGAGACATGTCTGAACCTCTACCCGTGATCAGGAGCATGCGGACCGGCATGGATGTTTGTCCCAAGATCTTGTTAAATTGAGTTTGCCATGTGTTGATGTCTTGATCCGCAGTCAGCGGCAATTGCGATATCATCACGACTCTCTACCGGGCTGCCAACCGTGAAGTATGGGCTTGCCATGTGTTGCAGGATAGGATGATCGATGGCTATTTGGCAAGATCTTGATTGGAGGTGGAAGGAATTGAGCAACATCTCACCGCTTCCCCTCCGCATCCCAACTATTGGAAAACACTTGTTGCTCGTGCTGCGTTGCACCGGTCGTGGCCAAGAACACCCTGCCTCTGCAGCAGGCGCTGCTTAGGTCTTTGACTTGCTCCCACGATTCTCATGTCGTGGTCCCTTATCCGTGCTTTGACACGCCGGTGTCTGATACTTGCGCATGCTGTGCACGTCAGAACATGTCAGAATATGTTCAGGAACGAGGTCGGTTCACAGCTACAGCTACTCAATGTCGAGGGTGCAATTCATCAATCCGCGGCGTCATCTTTTTGACACGATGGCTTGTCCCAATTGCCTCAAGGAGTTTTGATGCAGTCCATTTGCAGCGTCGCCTCTTTGGTGAGTATGTTTTGATCCCCAACCACTCCTTCTTTCCTCCTTTTTTGATGCAGGAAACTAATGAAAGATGGCGATATATGATATGAGTATATATAGTTATAGTTAGATAAGTTCATCAGAGTCAGTGTTGCATGTTTTCAAGCCCGGCAAGGACTGGTGGAGTAGAAGTCCCTGTAGGCCCAGAAACTATCTCCCCCGCGCCATTACCAAGGCCTCTAGGGCCAAGACTTGTTCTTGTGACCGCGTGCCACATGAAAACATGACGACCTGGGCGTGCTACACAGTGCCCACACAGTGCCCACACAGTGCCCAGGTGGTATTTCTTATGTCGAGTCCTCACAGGCGTCGCTGCGGACGTACAGACCGACGTCGGACGTACAGACCGGCACTGCCGATGGAGCCGAACAGAACAGGTTCTCAAGAGGATTGGAATGAATCAGAAATACATGGTACTGGCAGACACCCGGACCTCAGCAGTGCTCATGGGCGGTCATTAAGGGGTGTGAAGTGCCTTTTGGGTTCCAACCGTGCTAGGTGGACAAAGGGTCCTGGTCCAACCATGACGACCTGGGAGACCCACGTGGTTCGCGAAGATTCTGAGTACACCCGGGAAGACCCACATGGAACCTGATTGGCATGGACCTTTGGAAGACGATTTTCCTCTACAACCCATGTGGGTTTTTCAGGTTCTATGTTAATCTTCCCAGTGTAGTACCAGGAGCCACAAGACGACGGGGTGCCGAAGAACGAACGGAGGAAGCAAGGATAGGAAGGTGCTCCTGTCACATTTACCATCCACAGCCCCACTCCTTGGGACGAACGAAACCACCCACTCCTTGTGACTCCTGGTTCTAGGGGTTCTAGGGATCCACATACCGAACCTCAGGAGCTACGCCCTCCAAGCCTGTATACATCAATAGTCTCTGTCCTCACCGTACCTGAGGAGAAGGTACGAAAACGGATCCCTAGGGTGGTAGTTCTTGAAGAGGATGATTTGGAAACCCGACTCAGTGAGCACCCGAAGCCGACGCCTGGAGACGGAACCTGGAGACCGTGACAGGGACCGTTGCTGAACGGACCGCTTCCTAAAGGACCAACTGACCGCTTGCCTCATTGGTTCAGTTGGCAGGTTTGTTGCTGGTTTGAGATGCGATCATAGGTATAGGACCCAACTTCTACAGGTCACAAGTTGAGACGACAGAGCCCAACAAGCTTCAACGAATGACCTGTGAGACCCACAGCAGCTCGCATCTGTGGTTCTTCCCTTGGCGTTGCGATCCTTTTGGCCGATTGGCAAGGCTTCTGCTGCCTGATTGAACACCCACCGCGGCGTAAGTTTGTACCGGTAATGTCCATTCCGTGTTGGAGCTTTGACGGAATCCTTGGCGTTCTTCCCGGTCTCCAAATCCCGGACCCGTGCCGCATGCGGTGTCGACTCCGCGCTGGCCGCAGCGCCCCACCTGGCTGCCAGGTGTCTCCGTGGGCGGCTCCTTTCCTTTGCTTTACTCGCTCTGTGTCTGGGCGGCAGGACTTGCAGTGGCATCTTCTGGAGCTTTTGGGAGGTGCAAATCGCTGTGCAGCGAACATGCACCCCCGAACATGCACGGCTGGCTGTTGGGAGAACAGGTGATTTCTGGGCACCTGCCACCAAACATCTATTGTTGTATTGAGGGTCCAGGTGAAGGTAAGTTTGAATCTTGAGTTGATCACGAGTTCTTCCAGGTACGAGTCGATGAATGGATTCTAGACGTATCGAGTTGCAGTGCGGGCTGCCAAGTATACTTTAGCAATGTCATTAGAGACACACCAATTTCGCGGCGTGGGTGGATGAGAGTTTCGTGACGACTGAAAGCATCAGATGATGGGGCGGCAGGATATCATGAAAGGGGGATCATGCGGAGATTGAATCAGACTATTCCAGACCCCTTCAGTGCTGTGAAGAAAGTCTTGGTCTTTCTTTAACCTGAAGAAAGCCTTCGGGGTTTGTTGCTTGTGTGCCTTCAGAGCCACCTCATGATGCCTCCGAACTCTTCTGGGGGTTTTCACCGCGGATGCAGCAAACCTGCAGCTTCCAAGTGGGGTGCCGCAAATCAGTGCACCAGTTCCAACTCTCCCCGAAGGAACCCTCAGACTCATTAAGAAGGAAGTGGATGGCACGGGCCCTTGCTATACATGGGGGTGCCATCCACTTCATGCATGTGACGTGTGTAAGGCGTTCGTCGCCTACACTTCGTTTCAGGCGCCGCGAGTGGAGAACCACCACCGAGTTCACCACCACCTGGCTTGGTCTTCAGACAAGGGATGCTTTTTCGTTTGGGGGCGATGTCATCCACTTCCATGCTGATTCTTCCAAAAAGTCTAGCTATGTGGGTGTGTCTTGGAAGACCTCCCAGTTGGACCCCCCCGTGGAAGACGAGACATCGATAGAAATGGACCATTGATTCGGCCAGGGGGTCGCGCACCCGCAAAAAAGACACACCCCATAAGCCAGAAACATTACCTATAAATTGATGAAATCCATTGGGCCAAAAGGGTTCCCCCTATCAAAATCAGCACTTCCATGTATATGTGTAGCCCTTCTTCCTGTTTTGGGCTTCCCCTTCTGGACCGTCCCAGGCGGCGACCTGGCCACCCCGGAGCAGCGGGGCTTGGTCTCTGCGGCCATGGGCGTGGCGACGTCCATTGGCGTGGCGACGGGACCGGGCGTCCGCAGCGGGCGTCAGCGGCATGGGACCGGTTTCAAGAGGATCTGGAGATGGGGAATTTAGGGATTTTGGATGGGGTGGACTGGGTTCTAGATCCACCAAAGGCGAGTGGAGTATGAGTGGACGACTTTCATCTATCCCATGCACATCGTCTGACTTTAACGCGTCGAATGCTTGCAGGTCAGAATCCAGTCGAGCTGGCCCAAGCGCTCCCCCTTTTGGTGTTTTCAACACAGGGTCCGCCCCCCACCCAAAGACACGACACGCCGCCGCCTCTCTCTGCGCCAGGACAGCTCTTAGCCGGTTTCTTAGGGCCTCGCTGGGGCTGGCGGATTCCCTTCGTGGTGGCCTCTCGGCGGAGAACGATCTGGTGAGGGAATCATCCGGAGATCAAGTCGTGGATTCCTGGTGGAGTGAGGTGCTCGGTTGCTATACCTGGACCCTCCAAGGGGTGTCCAATGGACTACCCCACAACACTACCTGCTTCCATTTGGGCCCCCCTTGGAGGGTCCTGGTAGAGATCTTAAAGAACATTACAGAAGAATTCGTGGATGATAGCAGGTTCGGTCTCTGCAATGTCACATTTCAGAGCTTTGAGTGAGAGCAAACAGTGCAGGAAGAATGCAAACAAACCTAGGACCAAAGAGCATTTTGAAAGGTTGAAGGGGATGTGTTCTTTTTGTTTGGCACTGTAGGCCGCTCACATCAAACTGTGAGCCATTCCCAGAATTTGCACCTGCATGGCTATGATGTACGGTGCTCCGGTCGCAGGTTCACAGTCAGTCCGGGTGATGTTTTGCCAAAAGCTGCAAACAGAGCTTGTCTTGCAGTGCTCATCAGTGAGTTGCCATGATGGAAATCAGAATGTCGCCCTCAGCACGGAACCAAAGCCAATTCCTTGTGTGTGTTCATTCTTCCGAATTCCAAAAACGCATCCCGCAAAGGCCTGTTCTTTTCGCCCCACCCCAACACGACCCAGCACATGAAAGCGAAGGTGGCACACCTCCATCAGTTTGAAGTCGGTGCTTTGGGCGGCTTGCTTTTTTGTCCGTTCGACTCGGAGGTGGCCTATCCCGCGATCTTCTTCGCGTGTTTGCTTTGGTTCACCGTGCCGGACCCCAGAGTCATCCGTGGCCTCTCCCGCGAGGTGCGGGCAAGAGTGAGGTGTGGGGAACCATGGCCCTGTGGGTGTGGAGCTAGAGGGAGACCTCCCGACTTCTGGAATTTTTCTGGGTTCGCTTTGGGTTTTCATAGACCGGTCTACCCAGCCGATCGTACGCACTCATGGTGACAAAGGGAAGACATCCACAACAGCGTAGACCATTGTCCAAGAATCTTTGGGTGGTCTCGATAGTGAATGCCACGGTGGAGCCCAGCTTCCTGCCCCGTTTGTCGTTTTGTTGCAGTTGGCAGACTGATACTTAGGGCATGAGGGAATGAGCCCCCAATAGAGATTCCTTTCTAGCCATTCCCTCATTCTTTTCGAGTTCAGTTGATTCCGCAAGTTCCAACACATCCCCATACAGTTCATATTATTTATATATATATATGCCTGAAATCATTAGGGATCAGTCACTATAGGGTCATTTTGTCATAGGGGTATATCGGTATACACATAATAGCTCTTACCAGTCAATCACCGTCCCTCTGCCGGCCCTGGGCCGGGTCGACCGGTTCGGTCCGCAGGAGGGCCTGGAGTTGTCGGTGCGGAGTCCCAAGGCCAGCAGCTCCACGGAAGCTTGGGCAGCTCTCCGGGTCGAGAAGAGGAGAGTGGAGAGTGGAGAGGTTGGTTCTTTCGAAGAAATCCATTCTTAAAAAGAGAAGATGGACATGGACGTCAAGTACATGTTGGTTGAGTTCATGACGGTTAATTTTGGGCAGGTGTCCATGTCCCTGCAGCCTTTCGTGTGTGTGTGTGTGCCTTTCAAGTCGTTTCGCTATTCCTATAACCTCCAAAGGCCAACATCGGCATGCTTGCCATTTGCGACAAAGCTCAGGCGTTGAACCATGTTTGCTCAAACAAACACAAAAGAAAAGAACACGCCCCCCAGCTGTGGTGGGGCTTGTTCAATGGAACCGGTTCAAGAATCCACGGCAAAGTGATTTCATGAAGTTGTGTCCAGCCAGATCAATACCTACTAAAGGAGAGATCGAGACCACTGTGTTGCGGCAGTCGACGCAGCCCAGCACTCTTCAGTGTTCTTGTTGATTCTCGGCCCAGAGGTGCCTCTGTCCGCGGTCCGAGGTTTTCTAGTTTGAGCCATTTCGGATCTTCTCGTCGGGGCGGTGAACTTCGCACCCCGTAATTACCACGAATGGGCATCCCGGAGACGGGTGTCTTGGCTTTTATGGTTTTTAATTGTTCTTTTTATGTACTTCACACAGACCTAAGGAAGCCTATCATGCAGAGAAGGAGGCCTTCAACGAGGCAGGGGAACTGACGGCTTAAACGCATGCTTTCGCTGTGCGTTGCGCCATGGTGGACACTCTGGATGATGGAACAGACACGGACTTACAGCAGATATGCAGATGCATCCAAACAACGCTCTGTTTCAAGCAGAGTCACCTCATGGCTATTGCAGAAAGAACGGACCAAGAAGGTAGACGTTTAATTAGGCAGTGCGCCGTACTCCCGAATCAGCCGTATACGCCCTTCACCGCCACCAAATGTTGACAGCCTCTCCTGCAGATCTTTGAGCCCACCTGACCGCGGTCATCGGATACACCAGGTCAACGCACGAACGTAGCACCTGTGCCACACGTCGTCACGTCGTGTGCACTGCGAACAAGCGGCAGTGCCGTAGGATGCGGGTGACCCTCAATCTCACCCGATCCATTTTTCCCTCGTCTTTGAGGTTGGAGGCCATCACTAGTAGGTTGGAAGCCGTCGCTATTAGCAGGACGTGGCTGTTCTCCACACGAACCACACGAACAACTCATCGTCCTGGTCAGCCGGCACCACACTTCGCCGTCGAAGAAAGACCTGTCCAGCCTGGAAGAAGATGCCTCCACCTGGTTGACCAGACCAACCGTCCTATCCCAGCGGATCAAATTCAGCGCTCAAGCCAGGAAGTATAGCGAACATATAGCGAACATTGCTATGATTTAGGTGTGAGAGGTCGTTGGTCAGGATTAGGTGAGGCTTATTGGTGCCGTGAGTCATTGGGGGATGAATCTTCCGTTTGCTACAGCTGAGGTGGCATCCAGTGAACGGGCACAATCCACTCCTACATTCCAACAGTTCGCCCCAGAATCCTATCTCCGTTGGTTTGGAGGCAGACGTTCCTCCGGAAAAGGACATCAAGGGATCACCCGAAAGACTGCTTCCCTCTACAAACCAGCGGTTTTCAGCGGTTCATGTGAGTTTTCAGCCGGGTAAACCGTGGCTTTTGCGCCACTTGACTGCTCGAACCCAAATTCCAACCAGACAGATAGACTGCCGATCACTGCCCTGTTCCATGTTGGCTCCAGGAGCCGCAGCCGGAAAGCGTGGCCTCAGTGGTGTCGGAGGTCTATGAGCGAAATCCCAGTGCCTGAGCGAATGCAACGCTCGAGTCGTGGTTGGATCTCCAAAATCCCACACACTCCATGTATGCCATGTATGCCTACATTGGGGCCCAATGTAGGCACATATGGCATACATGGAGTGTCTGGGAATGAAGGGGTGCTAGGCATGGAGGAAGTCGGGGTGCCCCTATCAGATCCACTCACCGGATGGCACGAGCCACACCACCCCAAGCGACATGTGACTCCCGGTTCTTTTTGGAGAGCTCTTGGATCGTGAAACCCAGGCCACACGGGTTTAGGGGAGATAGATAGAGATAGCATGAGATAGCTTGGGTGTGTCCTATGACCTGTGTCAGTAAACAAGCATCACTGTCACGGTCCTGGTGTTCCGAACATCCATGTTTGTAGGAGGGGCCCGGGTCACCTCAACACCTGCAGGGTCGATGGGGCTCCCGGAAGGTCGAGCTCCACTCGGTTGCGCTCGTCCAGCGACCGTCTGAAAACCGCGCTCACTCGACGGAGTAGCGTGAAAAGAGAGAGATGGGCGAGTCGGAGCGCGAGGTTCGCCATGGCATCAAGACCTGCAGATTTAGGGACTTAGTATCCAAAAGGGGAACCCAAAAGAACATAGAAGAACGGAAACTCCCCATCAACAAAACACGTCACCAGCTCCAAAGAGGACTATAATTCAGACTAGATAGATCCATAACCCAAGCACCATGTCTAAACAAAGCAGAAAGAACCTATTCTGAAGAAACACACACACACAGTCGACACCATTGCTTCCGGGGTCTCGGGAAGCCCATCAGGTCACGCGGAGAAGAACATCAGCACCGAGTTCTCCGAGGCTCCGAACAGCACCGAGTTCTCCGACGCTTTCTTCGAACGCACGCGGTGCGTGCGTTGAAGCAGCAGCGGGGGGGAGGGAGGGTTGAAGGACGCGAAGAAAACCCGGCGTTGGAGACGGGGCGAAGATCGCTGCTGGTGTTGCTGGAGTGCTGCTTGGGCACGCGGTGCCGCCCGATGTGGGAGTTAAGAGCCTTCAACTGGAGAAGAAGAGGCGTCACGAACTGCGTTCGAGATCAGAAACCCTTGGACCACGACTTTTAAGATCAATTTGGGGGATCCTCCACAGATTTGGGGGATCCTCCACAGACCATCTCCAACTGTCTTCGCGTGGTGCTTCCCACCAGGTGCAAGCAGCTGTTGATGGGCATGCAGCCACTTGGGCTGCATGAGGAGAACTCATTCCCGATCCCTAGAGTCACGGTGCACAGAGCATACAGAGAGCGTCATTTTTTTCTTGTCCAATGGGCTGTGGCCTGAATCGTTTGGGGAGATTCCACCTATGTTGTTTTTTGTCATCCCATCTTCACAACTTGTTGGGGGTCTTCCTGGCACAGAAATTGACCGAATCCAACAGTTTCGCATGACTTGGGCTAGAGGACGAGGGATGAGCCACTCTGGTGCCACTTCCACTTCAAATGCTTTCCTTCACCTGACCTTTAGCAGAAGTCGTGAGGAATTCCAACCGGCTCGGCTCGGCTGCAGCGGATGGGCGCGAGTCATTCGAGGCCATCACGGATTGCAACCGTTTTGGCCTGGTTTGGCGAGGCCTCCGACGCCCACCCAGCGTTTCGCGCCGGCGAGGGCATCGGGCAGGTGAGTTGTAGACCCTAAATCCACACACCGAGAGGTATCGTGATCATGTTACGCCGTGCCCCATCCTAGGTCCTAGCATGTCCTAGCAACAATGCAATTTGTCTGTGTGTTTGACCCAAACAGAACCCAGGACTTGAACTATACCAGGACCATCGGTCAGAAAACCACTGATGTCGGCCGCTACCCCATCCCTACCCGCCTTCACACTCGAAGATCGCCAAGTGCACCGATCTTCCGGGAAGACTTTGAATCGCCAAGCGCCAAGGAAATGGACTTAAACTGACCTTTTTCTTACACTCCGGTTGAATGAGTGTCCTGAAACAATTGTGTAAAGAAACTTTAGACATGATGCGCGGCATGCCATGGGATGGTTTAGACTTTCGAAAGTAGATCAATTATGGTCAATTGAGGTGCGAACTGCTTCCCTGAAGAAAGGAGACGGTCGCTTCTTGAATGAAGTGCAAATTCTTCCGCAGCGTTTGGCTTGCAGCTGGAGTTTGCGCACGACACAGCACAGCAATCGTACAAACGCCGTCAAATGCCACAGGGAAATGTAAGGTGATGTAATGTGTTAGATTATACCTGAGATCTCCAACTATGCAACATATTTTGCCTTTTAGATGCTGTAGATGAAGAAGGCAGATATGTTGCACGGTTGCAAGATCCAGGCAAAGACGGTATAGATGTGAGTGATTGTGAATGGATGTTACCAAGGTAAGACATTCACCACTTGGAGACCTTGGAGAGCCGTTCCATTCCTTTCAACCGAGGTGGAGCCCCCCGCTCCGCTGCGGTTCCCGCATGCCACCGAGGTGTCCTGTCCTTTTTTTACATAGATCCGAGCGAAGCGAAACAGACAGAGCGATGTGGTGCAACATGGTCAAAATCCCAAAAAGAAGACAGGTTGGCCCTGCCCCTTTTTCTGCCCTTTGAGGAACGAACTGTCCACTGTTTGAGGAACGAACTCTTAGTAGTTTTGACCGTATACCGATTCAGCCGGCAAGGGCAACTCCCAAGGAGTTCGCAGCTTACTTCAGCCATGGCTGATGGGATGATGAAGGTCTTTTGTGAGACACTTCGTTTGCAGTCTTCTTCCAGCGTACTGTTGATGGCAGGGTATTCTGGGCTTGTGAAACTCTTCCATCTTCAGCTGATGTCCGTTCCAGAACCTCGCCACGATCTCCACCATCGAGGACCACAACTCCTCGATGTTTGTTGAAGAGCTTCTAGTTCCCAACAATCAGCATAGATCTATAAGTTATTAAGGCACATTGAGGCATATAAATAGTTATAACTAGGATAAACTAAGATAGCAAGCGACAGGTGGGCTTTAAATACACTTTTAAGTAGAGAAGACAGGTCACTTTTAATGAATGGATGATTTCATGTTCTGGTCCGCATTGGTGTGGTAAGCTCCTCCACTGTTTTTTCAGAAATCTGATGAACTTGAGCAAGCTAGGCAACCAATGTGGTGGACTGGGCCCGTGAATTCTAGAGGGGCCGTTGCACTGGATTGAAGACAAAGCAACCAAACAGCCACAACCACCAGGACGTACTTATAGTCACTACTTGACACTGAGTCCCGACCGTTCTGTGGCAAAAAAAAACATCACCCTTCAACCATTTGGACAGCATTGTTCTACTATATGAACATGACATGGAAAAGGAAATACCTCTATCTTACACGCCTTTCCCGTTTGGACCAAAGTCTTGCATCCCTTCGCTGTGTCTTTTTTCATGTTTCTTCTGCGCCATGGGTCCCTAGCGACGTGCGACGCGCGGTCACTTCTCAGGAAGATGAATGGAGAGATCTTGGAGGTGGCCATTGATGCGACCTCTTCCGTCATGGACCTCAAGGCGCACGGCCGGAGCACCGGCCACACGCGCATCGATGCGCGCGTGATGCTGCGCACGGCCACGGCTGGAGCGGGTTTCACGAGCCGGATGGTGAGCCATGTGCCAGTCAACAATCGCTTCTCCTGGTCCTTGAAAGAACTGTTGATTTGTTTACTTACGGGTGTGGGTCAAACTACAACGGCCCAAAACCAGGTTGACATCCTTGATAGAAGATTCAACTTATCCAACCAGGATCCTGGGGCGTTAACCTCATCCATAGAAACAGGGCGGATCAGAATTAGGGTGAGGGCCAGGGTACGATTGTATGATTAATTACAGTAATGTATACGGTATACGAACAAGAAACACCCGCCAAAAGAAGAACTGGAATGAGGCGGTGGACATCTTCTATGAATTCGATGACATGAAAAGAGCTGTCCCTTCCTTTTTTCTCTCCAACCTTGCCACCTGGTCCTTTCTGCCAGGAGAAGATCGCGGCCTTGGCCCCGTCTCCCCAGCAGACCCAGGCGTACACCATCTGTCAACAGCTGAGCGATGATTCTGGCTCTATCTTGCCGGACACGCAGGCGTGGACCCAGGTCGTGACCGCCACTTCGTCCGACGAACGGAGCGATCGGACGCGACGTTCGTCGGGGCTCCTGGTCCACCGTGTCCGTCGTGCCCAGTCGGTCTCCTGCCACGACCCCGAGTCGTGCCCGGGTTGGGAGGGCGGCCGGGCGCGGGATGAGGGGCAGTGTGCGGGCGAGAAGGGATGAGGGGCACAGGGTAGACACCCAAGAGGTCTGTGGGAAGAAGGAATTTGATGGAAGACATGCTGGGTTTGGTGGGGTCAGTGACCCGTTGAGCCACATCTAGCCACATCTATGGGCCATTATATGGGTGTGGTGTATTGAAAGGGATTGGTGCCTCAGCCAATCACAAAATTCTACCAGCACCTTCAAGGGGGTCACCAATGGAAGCCCCTACACTACGATCAGGGACCTCCAGACAGGACACCCTTTGAAGGTCCAGGTAGAGTCTAGTCTTCCTGTTCCCCTGAGTCTTTGGCAACCCAACATCGATGTCCTGAAACAGGTCATCGGCAGCCTGGTGCACGAGGGCACAGAGATTCGCTTGAAACCTGGAATTGCTCAGGTGAAGTGGTTGTTTGGTTTTTCACACACACACTCACACTCCCTGAACGAATCATGGGCTTTCCCGTGGATGGGATGGGAAATTCGGCCCCGTGTTCGGATGACCATGTTGAAAGTACCAAGCAGGTGGTGCCATCCACGTTTGCCCCGTTGACCTGCTTCACGGAGTGTATTGCAATCTCTCTGTGGGATTGTCCCAGATCTGCTTGAGGATGATTGCTCTATATGACGTCCAGGTAAAGGGTGGTAGAAAGGTCAACATGATTCACCTGGCAAGATGTGTGGTCCGTTTCAGATGACTGTTCCTTTGCCTGAGGTGTCATCAGGTGTGTAGCCACGGGATGTTGCACATAGTTACTGTACTGTGTTTTTGTTGATGGTTGGTTTCATCGGCGGTTCTTTTTGGAGGTTAGGTGGTGGTAGTAGTAGTAGTAGTAGTAGTGGTAGTAGTAGTTGTAGTAGTAGTAGTAGTTGTTGTTGTTGTTGTCGTTGTTGTTGTTGTTGTTGATATTACATTTGATATGACCAACTTGAGCACCGCATCACATCGCAAGGAACGTTCGACCAGATAAGATGGTTGTGGAACCTTGGATCCTGCGTGGGTGAATTGTTATGCCAGGTACCGAGAAAACAACAGGGCGTTTGCAACTCATACTGCGGAGTCCTGGGGATATAACTTGTGAAACTTCAACGATAGTATACCCACCCCCAGTGAACTCCAGTGACAGGATACCCACCCCACAAAATAGAATGGACCCTGAACATGGAGCTCACACTTTCCAACAAAAGTGAGAGGGTCCTCGCCCTCACTGTGGTTTGTGAGGAGGTTGAACATTGAAAGCGGCCATCTGCCAATGGAACGCCTAGTGAATCCGACCGAATCGGAATAAGAACTATGTGATGAGAAACATGGACCCTGAAAACCACTGGTTGGTAGAGGAAAACACTCTTCCAGGGGGCCATTGTCAGGGTCTATGTTAGTTTTCGGGAGTGTACTAGAGAAAGAGCATCAGGACTCCGGAGTCCAAACAACTTTTTTTCAGGTGCATGTGACCAGGTGGTCTGAATGACCAGTGGTCTGAATCCATCAACTCTCCCAACGAAAAACCGGCAGAACTGCTCGGCCGGAGTTCAGCCGAGGGACCTCCGTCGGCTGAAGTCCTCGCAGTTTCACCACGAAGTCCTTAGGACCTTGCTCTTCCACTTGGATCCCGTCTTGGCTGCCTTGCGCGATCGAGAGAGTCAGAGCACTGCAGCCCCGGCCCCCAGTGTCGAGGGGTGGTTGCCAGTCGATCCCGGATCCGCACGTGAAACCCACGCGAGGCTCACTGGGTCGAAGGTTCGTACAGCTGAGGTCGAAGCTGTTGACCCTCGCATACCCCTCGAGATAGGACGACGACGCAGCATGTGCGATGCACCGAAATCTGCCATGTGCGATGTCTGCCGGCGACCCCCAGCAGTCATCCAACACCTCGAGAGATGTAGCTTTAATGAAGTACGGATGAAAACCGTATCTGGAGTTTTGGAAGAAGAAGCCTTCCGATTTGATGGATGTGGTTGAAGATCCGGAACCGATGGCGGTCTCTCTCCGGAGCGATGCTTTCGAATTTTTGTAGCATCTGATCCAACGAAACCTGGTTTGGGCGGATCAGGTCGGTCTGAATATGTCCCCATCTACCAGCTGCTTCTGTTCGGGGTTACCTGGCTGGACAACCCTACACTGCCTATAGGTCTCCATTGGACACCCAGAGACCCTTGGAGCAGGACCTGAGACCTCATGTTTGTATCGCGATGATGTCAAGGTCAAGATCCTCCGGACCTTGGGCGCTTGCGATTCTTTGGTGGCTGCAGCCTTTGGTGCCCCTCGTCTGAGAGTCAACGACATGTGAGGAAGTCTTGTCTTGTTGGAACTCGAGGTTGAAGGGAGGGGTCATGCCGACTGGCACATTCATGTAGTAATGC